TATAATGTAACCGTGTGTTACCTTCTCAACGCCGTATGTAACGACCGACTAGAACAGGTCGAGCGTCTCCTCACCACCAAAACCAGCCCAAAACAAGCCCATATACCTCCATCTGCCATGCCCGCTATAGACACAACACGACCATCAGAGCGCCGGAGTTCTGGCGTACGTGGAGTGGTCTGGTCTGGACATTATGACGTCATACGATCTGGCGTGACAAGCGATGAGGCTGACACAAATCTCTTTAAGTGGCTGTCCAGTTCGTCGTGCTAATCAATCTAGTGCTTGACGGTCCAGTCCCTTATCCCCACCCTCCCCCACCCCTCCTCGCGGTTGTGGTCATAGCTATAAGCTTTCAAGGGACACCAGTGGTACCAAACAGGTATCTGGCCATGGAATCAAAAGTGGAACTTAATGACTGAGCCCAAAAATCGGTCAAAAACATCCCTGTTTTGATCTTTTACTAAATAAAACAATTGTTTTTTGGGGTTTTTTAGTACTGCAAAGAACTTCAAAAATGCACACTTCTCTTTGCGTCTGTTTGTAAAAACATTTGGAATCTGCACACACACACACACACACACACACACACACACACACACACACACACACACAAGCACATTCACACATAAACGCAAACAAACAACGAACATCGAGACATAGTTACAGCAAACAAATGTCGACTTTCTCTTGTTTTTTGAGTAAAAGACGTGCATCAGCGTAGGCATGGACATTTAGTGTATGGAAAAAGACAGAAGGACAGAAACAAAATTGTGAGGCAGCGTGGTGGAATCAGGCCCTCGTCAATGTTTGGGTATAATGAGTTATTGGTATCATCTGAAAGCTTGTTCATTTGTCTTGCTTTCAATGAAACAATTACCACCCATCTTCAATAGAAGTGCAGATATTATGGATTGAAGGAGGTGGGGATCGCTTTGTTTAAGAGGTATAATTAGCGAGAAAATGGCCGCCAAAGCTTGATAAATTTCAAAGCTGGAGAGTCCATGGAAACTGTAAATTTATAGGTTTGTGCCTTTAATCGACGTTTTCGGTGAAATCCTCAAAGGAATGTGTTTGTTGTTGAGCCAAAATACAAAAATTTGATAAAAATTGCTAAGCAGGGAGAAAACTGCTGTTTTCTTCTATTTCATTATTTTGACGAGAGCCTGATTCCACCACGCTGCCTCACAAATGGTGTAAAAGGAAAATAATATAACCTACCAGAGGCACCCTCCATCCTCCCACGCTTGTTAATAAATCTTACATGTCTATCAAAACAGTGAACCCAACCACCATTGGTGCTTTAAAATAGGCCTCCGGGTCCTCCTTCCCAACCTCTCTCCCTCTCTCTCTCTCTCTCTCTCTCTCTCTCTCTCTCTCTCTCTCTCTCTCTCTCTCTCTCTCTCTCTCTCTCTCTCTCTCTCTCTCTG